CAGGGGCGGGGGACAGGATGCGGATGCCGGGGGGACTTCCTGTGCCGGCCCCCCAGCGCCCTCGCCCCGGTCCGGCCGCTGCCCGCACCCACGCACATCACGGGAGGGCGGGCGAGCGATCCCGGGACCCGGCCCGGCCGCGGCGCCCGCCCCCCGCCACCCTGGCACCTGTGGCCCGCGGTCGCCCTGGACCTGTGTCACCTGGTCTCCATCCAGCCGACCTAGGGCTCCTGCTTGGGCCCTACTGGTGTGCCATGGGAGACCCGGACCAACCCTGATCCCTGCTCGGGATTCGGATTTCTGCCTCCCTTTCCTGTCCCTACGTGAGAGTCTCCACCAACTTCTTCCTGGGAACTCCACTCTGCCCCCTTGTCTTGGCCCAGGGCGACCTCGACAGCCCTGACAGTGAAGACTACTCTGGAGTACCTGCAAAGCCCCTCCACCCTCGGGGGTGGTCAGAGCCTCCCCGGCTCTTTTTAGATGGAGGTACCTCCGGAAGGAGCCGGTTGAATGGCTGTGGCCTTCACCCTGTAGCCACCGGTGACCACACCTCCCCTAGCGCAGAAGCTGCCGCCAGCGGGAAATGCTATTCCAGGTGAGGCCTGGCGGGACAACCCTGCTCAAAGCCGGGTACTTCTCTTCGGAGGGCTCTGAATAGCTTCCCAAAGCCAGAGGGAGCTGGGGTCAGCCAAAATCAGGGGAAGTGAAGAGGCCTGGATGTGGGGAGTGGACTCAGGAGGACAGGCCTGCAGAAGGCCCCTGACATGGGTTACAGTACTCTAGACATCTGCCTTCCAGGGGAGCTGGGGTGGCACATGACATTTGTGGCCTTTGAAGGCTGAGGAAGTCTCCAGGGCAGGCTTTAGACCACACAGAATGGAAGAGAAGGAGATGTGACATGAGCACCCCTAGATGTCCCTTTTCTGTTTCCAGATCCCCAGCCTTGTGAAAGGCTGGTACCCACAGTTAGCATTGGATGTGGGGGCAGGCATGGCCTCTGGACAGCTGAGATGAATCCTGTTTGTATTCAGCAGATACACCTCTGGCTCTTCCTAGCAGGAATGAAGTTCAGCAGCTGCCACCATCTCCCCCTGAACGGTTTTCCTTTTTTTCTCTTAGCACAGCCTGCTCCCCAGGATCCTGGTGTGACAGCCAGGATGGAGCTGGGCCCGGCTACAGAGACCTTTGTGTTGGAGCTGCGATGTCTTGAGGATGGGGGTCCAAGGCCCAGCACCCTCTCAGGTGAGGGCTGGGGGTCAAGTCAGTAAAGCCTCCAGCAAGGATTCTTGGATTAAGCTGCAAGCTGGCAGAGCCCAGACCATGTCAAAGGGACCCCTGTGTAGCCTGCAGCCCACCTACTCACACCTGCAACTACCTTAAGTAATACCCAGAGGTTTACTTAAGTGGTCAGGCTGGGTCTTTCTGGAGAGGGACACCCTGCCAGGATCAACAGCTCTAGCCCTGATCCCCTCACAACTGGGCTGGCCATAACCTGCTTCTCAGTTGCCTCTGAGTCAGGTGACTTCCACCATCCACATCTGGGGCTGGATAGAGTCAAGGCACTGAAGGGCTTTTCTCTGTCCTTCTTGCCTCAGACATTAGCTGAATAGTTTCTTTTTCCTTGTGGACTCTACCCCCCCACCATGTTTCCTCCACTTGATGCCTGGAGGCTCCTACAGTGTTGTGGAGCCTCCCAGAACTCTCCAAGGCCCATGTTGGGTAGCCTTCCAAAGGGTCAACTCATTGGAAACAATTTTCTCATTCTGCACTTTAAAGGGTGGTGAGTAACAGTGTGCAGGCTTGAACAGAACGGAGGACCAGGGGTGCGCCTGGCATGGTGACAGGCACCTGTAATCCAAACACATGGGAGACTCAGGCAAGAGGATTGCAGTTTGATAACCTGGGCTACATAGTGAGTTTGAAGCCAGCCCAGGCTACACAATCCAAATAAGACCATTAAAAAATCAGCAAAATTGCAAGAGAAAGAAAGGGACCCATGAATTAAACAAAGATTCTACTTGTAAATTTTTTTAAGTTTAAAAAATTATTTTTATGTGTATGAGTGTTATGCCTGTGTGTATGTATGTGTAGCACATGTGTGCAGTGCCCATAGAAGCCAGAAGAGGGTGTTAGATCCCTTGGAACTGGAGTTACAGATAGTTATTAGCCACGATGTGGGTGCTGGGAATACAATCTGGGTCCTCTGCCAGAGCAGCTGGGTGCTCTCAACTGCTGAGCCATCTTTCTACCTTCTCCACTTGTAAATTTAACCCTGGAGGGCATACATGTTAGTAACATCTTACTACAACATTACTGAAATGTCTTTGTGGAAACTGCTGAGGTGAGTCACATTGAGATGGGGGGGGTCTGTGTTCTGATTGCCCCAAAAAGGAAGTAAAAGAGGGGGTTGCCTAAGAGATATTAAAAGGCAGTGTTCCATAGCTGTCTTCACCTACACTCAATGCCCAACTTGTAGAAGTGTCTGTGGAAAATATACTCAAGAGTCTGGGGAGATGGCTCAGTGGGTAAAGTGTTTGCCTTCCAAACATAAGGACCAGAACTTGAATCTCCAGAATCCATGTAAAAGCCAGGCACAGGAATGTGTTTATAATCCCAGCATTCCTATGGAGAGTTGGGAGGTAGACACAGGAGAAAGCCTGGAGGCTGGAGGGCCAGCTAGCCTGGTAGTGGATGCAGTGAAGCCTGGCTGGTGGATACAGTGGCAAACAAAAAACCCTACCTCAAAAAAGGTGGAAGATGAGGACTGACACCCAAGGCTGTCTGTCCTCTGACCTCCACACCTGTGCTGTGGCACACATGTACCCACAGTCACACATATGAACACCAACATGTACACACATAATACACACAGAGAGGTTCAAAATATGTGAAGATCAGCCAGGCGTGGTGGCACATGCTTTAATCCCAGCACTTGGGAGGCAGAGGCAGGAGGATCTTTGTGAGATTCGAGGCCAGCCTGGTCTACATAGTAAGTTCTAGGACAGCTGGGGCTACAAGGAGACCCTGTCTCAAAAATACAAAAAAATACAAAAAAAAAGTGAAGAAAGATTATTAGTACTTTTTCTAAATGATGATTATCCACAAACAGGTTTTCCCCATTGTGTGTGTGTGTGTGTGTGTGTGTGTGTGTGTGTATGTGTGTGTTGTCTGTGGTTGGGTACTCATGTGTGGGTGTGCATGCACATGTGAAACCCAGAGCTCATCAATACACCTGGTCTCAGTAGTCCTCTTGCTCCAGGGGATCCTCTGTCTCTGCCTTCTGAGGCTAGAATTGCAGGTGGGCTGCCATGCCTGGCTTGGTAGAATTGGTTAGCTTCTGACCTGCAGACTCCCTACCTGAACCCATGGTGTCTTTGAGATTTTGGTGATTTCTAGAAACTACTTGTGATGTCTTTACAGAATTGCTTTGTTATTTACAAACAAAGCAATTTTCTTTAAAGTGTGGCCATCAATGAGGTCACAGTTCAGCATGGGGAGGATGGGTGGACCATTGGAATGACTGGTTTCCCCTGGATGGAGCAGAATACCAGAGATCTCAGGGAATTGTGTCAGGAGTCCCAGGTGTCAGAGCTAAGATCTAGCATGGAGCTTGTGTGAAGATGGCTCAGAAGAGAGGTCAGAGTGAGATGACTGGCAGTGCCCTGGGGATGTTTCCACCCCCTGCCCCCAGCATTTCATTTTCTGCCTTGTCACCACTGTCACTTGATCTAATGCTTTTGGGTCCCTGCTGAGCTCTCCTTAGTGGATCCTTGAGTGCCTTCTTGGGGCCCTGTTCAGATAGCTGCCTCTAGATCCTTCTCTCCTGGCTTCCTGCCATTTCCACTACAGGTGGCAGTGGTGGGAGTGAGAGTCAGGAGGAGGAGGAGGCTCCAGAGGGGAGTAGCAGCCCGCAACCGCCAGCAGCCTCAGCCACAGTTGGGGTCAGTAACATCACCGAGGAAGTCCAGCCGGGACAACTGCCACAGTTAGAACAGCAGCCAGAGCCTCAACGACAGCCACAGCATGAGCAGTTGCAACACCAGCAACCCCAGATCCAACCATTAGGACCTCAGCCAGAATTGCAGCCACCCCAAGATGGGCAACAGCAACTGCCTCCACTAAGGCAAGAACTACAGGGAAACCTCCAGTCTACGCAGCATGAGGAACCACAACCTCAGCTGCAGCTAGTGCAACAGCAACTTGGACAGGAGCAGCAAGACCAAGAGCAGCAGTTGTTACAACAGCAGCAACACACAGAGCAGCAAGGGCAGGAGCAGCAGCTGTTACAACAGCAGCAACAGCTGCAGCAAGTGCAAGAAGCATTACAGCAGGAACAGCTGCAACAGCAAGTCCAACAGCAACTTGTACATCAGCAAGTGCAAGAACAACTAGTACAGCAGCAGCTGCAGCTGCACCAAGTGCAACAGCAGCAGCTTGTGCTGGTGCAGCAAGTGCAAGACCAACAACTAGTGCAGCAGCAAGTTCAACAACAGCAACTCGTGCTAGTCCAGCAGCAGGTGCAAGAAGAAGCATTGCAGCAGCAGCAGGTTCAGCAGCAGCAACTTGTGTTAGTGCAGCAGCAAGTACAAGACCAACAACTAGTGCAGCAACAGCTGCAGCAGCAAGTTCAACAACAATTAGTGCATCAAGTGCAAGGACATGCATTACAGCAGCAGGTGCCAGGGCAACAGCTGTTACCACAGCAACAACAGGAACAGTTACATCAGCCCCAGTTGCTGTTGCAACAACAGGGACAGTTGCTGCTGCAGCCTGTGCAAGATCCACAGTTGCTACAACAGGAACAGTTACAGCAGCAGCTGCTCCAACAGCAGCAACTGTTGCAACAGCAGGGACAATTGCAGCTGCAGCAGCATGTCCAAGAACAAGCATTACAACAGCAGTTACAGCAGCAAGGGCCAGGGCAGCAGCTGTTGCAGCAGCAACAGGAACAGTTACAGCAGCAGCAGCTGCTCCAGCAGCAGCAGCTCTTGCAGCAACAGGGACAATTGCAGCAGCAGCAGTTGCAGCAGCAGCAGCTCCTGTTGCTGCAGCAGCAGGGACAGTTACAGCAGCAGCTGTTGCTGCAGCAGCAACAAGCTCAGTTGCAGCAGCAGCTGTTGCAGCAGCAGCAGGCCCAGATACAGCAGCAGCTATTGTTGCAGCAGCAGCAGGAACAGTTGCAACAGCAGCAGCTGTTGCAGCAGCAGGAACAGCTATTGCAGCAGCAGCAGCTGCAACCTGCTCCCCTGGAGCCAGATGAGGAGGAAGAGGTAGAGCTGGAGCTCATGCCAGTGGACTTGGGGTCTGAGCAGGAGCTGGAACAGCAGCGCCAGGAACTAGAACGGCAGCAGCAGGAGCTGGAACGGCAGCAGGAACAGCGGCAGCTGCAACTGAAATTGCAGGAGCAGCTGCAGCAGTTGGAGCAGCATCTGGAGCAGCAGCAGCAGCTGGAGCAGCAGCAGCAGCTGGAACAGCAGCAGCAACTGGAACAGCAGGAGGTACAGCTGGAGCTGACACCTGTGGAGCTGACCTCCGCGCAACCAGAACTGCAGCTGGAGCTGGTGCCCGCTCCAGGAGGCGGTGCAGCAGCAGCCCCTGCGACTGTCGTGGTGGCCCCTCCAGGCTACGTGGTGCTACAAGAGCTCATGGTGCTGCCCACCGTGGCCACACCCACCGTGGTGGCCATCCCAGGTCCTGCGGGGAGTGCGGCTCTGACCCCCGCAAGACAACGGAGAAAACGGCGGGCGAGAGACAGGCCGACCATCTGCGGGGAGTGTGGCAAGGGTTTCAGCCGCAGCACGGACCTGGTGCGACACCAGGCCACGCACACCGGGGAGAGGCCGCACCGTTGCGGGGAGTGCGGCAAGGGCTTCTCGCAGCACTCCAACTTGGTGACCCACCAGCGCATCCACACGGGCGAGAAGCCCTACGCCTGCACCTACTGCAACAAGCGCTTCAGCGAGAGCTCGGCGCTAGTTCAGCACCAACGCACCCACACCGGGGAGCGGCCCTACGCCTGTGGCGACTGCGGCAAGCGCTTCAGCGTTTCCTCCAACCTGCTGCGCCATCGCCGCACCCACTCGGGCGAGCGGCCTTATGTGTGTGAGGACTGCGGGGAGCGCTTCCGTCACAAGGTGCAGATCCGTCGCCATGAGCGCCAGCTGCACGGAGCAGGCCGTTCCAGGGGCCTGGGCCTGCTGCGATCAAGGCCTGCACCCTCAGGAGGGACAACACGCACCCAGCAGGCCTCTGGGGCGCCTGGCAACAAGGCTTCGTGATGGTGGAGTAGGGAGCTAGGATGGACCAGACTTGAACCCACCCGCGAAGCCCCGAGCGGTGTGACATTCAACCACACTTTACCCCCAGGCCTAGTTCGAGAACCTTCTGGATATCTTGAGCTATCCTTAGGAAAGACTTCCATCTTTTCCCAGACTCCCTCACCCCACCAAAGCACCAGGTTCACAGATTAACCTTCCATCAAAAACAAACAAACAAACAACCCCTCCCCCCCAAATCCATGAGACAAGAAGAGCTCCATGTGTGAGAGAGGCTGCCCAATTTTTCCCCCTCCCTGGGAAAATTGCACTTAGAACTTCCAGGGTGGCAAACAATTAATGAGGTTTGATGTGGACCAAACATTAACCAGGAAATGAAATGTACTGGGTCACGGGAGCTCAGAAAATGAATGGTTCATCCTGTTTATTTTAAGAACAGAGAAAGGGGGCTGAGGATGTAGCTAAGTTAATAGAGTGCTTGCCTAGTGTGCACAAAACCAGGGTTCCATAGCCAGCACCATATAAACCTAGGGCATGTCTGTAATCCCTACACTTTGGAGGTGGAGGCAGGAGGATCAGAAGTTCAAGGTTGTCATCAGTTACACAGTGAGTTGGAGGCTAGCCTGAGCTACAGGAGACCCTGTCTCACAGTATACGGGAAATGAAACTCCACTGCACTATGCAGAGAACTTGATCAAGGCCATGACATGGGCCTTGACAATACTCTCTGGAATGAAAGGCCAAGGGGCGGATGCAGTTTGTGTGCAAATGCCTGTGTTTGTAGACACAGGGTCACAGAGTCCACAGGGCCAATGTGCCAATAAAAGCCAGGAAGTCCTGCTCTGGGTGGAAGGTAAAACCTTTCTTCTAAGGGAGCCCAGACTTCCATAGGCATTAGAAATGGGCTCTAGGCCTCTGTTGCAATGTTCCCAAGCCATCTGTTATCCCTACCTGTCCCCTGGAATAAGACCCTCCTGGCTAGAGGAGAGGGCATTCTGGGAGGGCTCTCTGAGTTCCTCAAAAAGAGTCTGGAAAGAACTTCAGGGCAGCCCCCACCCTAGCCTAAGCTGCTTAGATGCTGCCCATGTGGTCAGCACCATGTGACCCAGGGACTGGGATCTCCTGGACCAGGCTTTTGGGATGGGTGGCTGGACAGCATCCTCCTACCTCCTGCCAGGCGTATAAAGAGAATGTTGGGGACACGGACAGGGCATATCAGAAAGGCTATAAATCACGTTTACCAAATCATGGGCAGGGGCTGCAGGAGGAGCAGTTACTGATGCTGTACAGAAACGGGTGCAGGTAGAAGAGGCCACCTCTGGCCCCCAGCCACCTCCTGCTCCTCCTGACACCCGTGGCTGCTTAGTTCCTGCCCCTTTTCTTTCCCCTCCTTGCTTCTCCTTTACTAACACAGCCTGCCACATTTTACACATGTGTTGGTTAAGTGAGAAACAGAACACAAAAAATAAATTAAAGTGAAGAAATATACAGTATTCTGTCTTTTTTGATTTCCATTCTGCATTTTATGTTTTGCCTGGAAGTTTCTTATTTTGTTTGTTTGTTTGTGCCAGTCTCATGTAGCCCAGGCTGGCTTCAACTCACAATGTAGCCAAGGATGGCACAGAACTTCTAATCTTCCTGCTTCCATTTCCTGAGTGCTGGGCCTACAGCTGTGTATCAGCACACCCAGTTTATATGGCACTGGGGATTGAACCCAGGGCTTTTGTGCATATACTCTCTAAGCCCTAAGATTTGGAAAATTTTTTAAAAAACTTTTTTTTTTAATGTAGCCCAAGCCAGTCCTGAATTTGCAGCGATCTTCCTGCCCCAGCCTCCTGAATGCTAAGATTACAGGTATGTGCTACCACACACTGGAATTAGAACAAACCTGTGTGTTTGTTGGTGGTATATATGTGCATATGTGGACATGTGGCCTGAGGTCAATGTCAGATGTCTTTCTTCCTCTTCACCTTATTTTATTTTAAAAAATTATTGTATGTGTGGGTGAGTACATGTGCCACAGTGCATAGAGGACCACTTTAAGGAGTTGGTTCTCTCCTTCACCTTTATGAAGATTCCAGAGATTGAGCTCAGGTAGCTAGGCCTGTGCTGCAGGTACCTTTACCTACTGAGCCCTCTCACCAACCCTAGTCCTCTTTTTGAGACAAGGTCTCTCACTGAATTTAGAGCATCACCCAGTGAGCTCTAGGGATCTGCTTGTCTCAGCCACTCCCACCCCCACCCAAACTATAGGGTTGGAGATGTGTGTTGCCATACCCAGTTTCTGTGTGGGTACTGAGGATTCAAACTGAGGTCCTCGTGCTTGCACAACAAACACTTGACTGACTGGCTATCTCCATAACTCAGAACCAGCCTTTCTGAGGGTGAAGATGTGTGGATTTAGGGCCAAGGCAATCACTTGTTGCCTTTAAACAGATTTTTTAAAGTGGGTTCCTCCAGCCTACTGTAATACCCAGGCTTATGAGGAGATTCAGGCTCCTCCAGCCTTTTACCTCAATAAGGGCTCTGCCTAAGCCCTACCACCTGTAGATTTCTCTCTCTCTCTCTCTCTCTCTCTCTCTCTCTCTCTCTCTCTCTCTCACTTATTGTATGCAAGTCAGAGGACAACTTTTGGGAGTTGGCTCTCTCTTTCCATTACATGGATCCTGTAATCAAAATGTGCTTTAATAGCCGGGTGTGGTGTTGCACACCTCTAATCCCAGTGCCTGAGAGGCAGAGGCAGGTGGAGCTCTTTGAGTTTGAGGCCAGCCTGGTCCTCATAGTGGGTCTCACTATGCAGCTCTGGCTGGCCTGGAACTTGCTATGTAGACCAAACTGGCCTCAAACTCACAGAGATCCACCTGCCTCTGCCTCCAAGTGCAGGGATTAAAGGCCTGTGTCACCTTGCCTGTCTTTACACCCCATTTCTTCCCTTGAGTGATGGCAGCAGGAGAGACCTGCCCAAGTCATACTCATCAGGAAATGTGAAAGCAAAAGGCAGAGACAGGAAAATTAGAAAAAAAACTTTAGAAAGGAATTTTGCCAGGCATGATGGCGCATATCTGTAATTCCAGCATTTGGGAGTCAGAGGCAGGATGAAAGTGAGTTTGAGGCCAACCTGGACAACATAGCAAGATCCTGTCTCACCAAAGAAAAGAATGGAGGGAGGGAAGGTGAAAGGGAAAGAGGGAGACAGGGAGGGAGGGAGGCAGGGAGGGAGAAAGCAAGTCAGCTAGACAGAGTAGTTCTAGTTTGCAATCCCAGCATTTGTGATGCTAAGGAAGGAGGATCAGGAGTTGGAGGCCAGTCCAACTGTCCATATATATAATTATATATAATGTATATATAATATAATGTCTATATTGTGTGTGTATATATATATATATTTAACCAGAATACCAGAATCACTTGAGAGAAGACAGCTGTAAAAATCAATACAATGTTGTTTCCAAAGGATTGTTACATCACAGCAAGACCCTGTGACTTGCTGACAATTTTGAATGCAAGGCCTCCTTGCTCTTTGTTTAAAAGGGAGAGGAACAGGCATCCAGAGATAGGCAAGACCAGGCAGCCCAATTATTTTGTGGGGGCAGTATGTGGACAGTTTTAACCCCAAGTTTTGTTCATGATAGGCAAGCTCTCTCCCCCTGAGCTACATCCCCAGCTCCTCATTGGGGGAATTCTAGGCAGGTGCTCTACCACTGAGCCACACTCCCAGTCCATTCACTGGGGAATTCTAGGCAAGTGATCGCTCTACCACTGAGCCATGTCTCCAGTCCTTTTTATTTATTTTGAGACATGATCACTCTAAGTTGCCCAGACTAGCCTAGTGCTTACTCATAGCCCAGGCGGGCCTAAAACTCCTGATTATCTTGCCTCAGCCCCCTTAGTGCTGGCATTACAGGCATGCACCATCATGCCAAGCCTCAGTAACAATTATTGCCCCTCGCTTCTAAAGCAAATGACTAGGAGACTGCTTTGTGATCATCTGTGGGTTAAACAAATGGAGCTTAAATTGTCCATGCCTTGAGAAACTGGAGGACCAGCCCCTACATCCCTGTGTTAAGATGTTTCTGGTCTGAGGACAGTGGCATCCTTGGTCTGCATGTATTGTTGCTTAGTTGGGCTTTTCTGTTACTGCTGACCTCAATCCTAGATTGTCCCAAACTCACTGGAAGGGAATTTATTTTTATTAACCTGTATGTTTGTAGTGCATCTGTGAGTGAATGGCATGTGTGAGTATAGTGCCTGCAGAGGCCAGAAGAGGGCGTTAGAACCCATGGAGCTGGAGTTACAGGTGACTGTGAGCCACTACACTTAGGTACTGTGAGCCAAATTTAGGCCCTCTGGAAAAACCGCAAGCACTCTTAATTGCTGAGCCATCTCTCCAGGCCTGGCAGTAATTTTAAGGCAGTTTTATTACAGTAATCTGGAAGAAATCTAATGGGCTACGCTTTTGGCACTAATGCAATTCCTGTGTCGTGTGTGTGTGTGTGTGTGTGTGTGTGTGTGTGTGTGTGTGTGTGTGTGTAAAAAGTCTGTATGAGAAGATGGAAAAGAATGCCTAGATGTGCTCATGGAACAGCTAGCCCACTTACGCTGGAGCCCAAGGCAGGAGGATTGCAAGATCAAGGCCAGCTGGGCTATAGAGAAATGGCTCACCAGCAGTCTCACCTGCTCACTTCCTGCTCTTCCCTCCACTGTCTGTGAATGCTGTCAGTGATGTGGCCATCTGCCCACACAGCAATTTTCTGGAAGCTTGTTTTTGTGTCAGCTTTCCAGTAGCTTACCAGCAGGGATGGAGGGGACACAACAGATCTGGGAAGGTTACCAATCATCTAAGTACAGTTGCGATCCTGTGTGTCAGAAGGACATCTCTGTTCCCATATATTGGCTATGGGCTGGCTTTGACTCTGCTGGAGTCCCCCAGCGACAGGAGTGTCCTTCAGGGACCACCCCACATATGTCATGGCTGAGTGGAATTCATGCCAGCTCAGCTCCCAAGATTCACGCAGGGCAGCAAGAAGCCTGATACAGAGGAGTTTTGATCCATGTCCTCAGACTGGACAGACTGTAATCCTAGTTTGAAAACAAAGTTAAATGCTTGAGAGCTGGGGTGAAGTTCAGTTAGTTTGTGGAGTGCTTGCCTAGCATGCAATAAGCCCTGCTTTGATCTCCAGTGTTTCATACACTGGTATAGGGTACACGCCTGTAATCCCAGTACTGGAAGGTAGAGGCAGGAGGCTCTCCAAGAGTAAGTGTGATGCCATCCCGGACTACAGGACACCCTGTCACAAAAAATGTTAGGTCTGGGGAAGTGGTTCTGTGGATAAGAACACATGAGGATCTGCGTTTGAATCCCCAGCACCCACATAAAAAGCCGAGCGTGGCAGTGTCCATGCCTGTAATCTCAATTCCATGGGGAAGGAGACAAGAGGCTCAATGGGACTTTCTGGCTGCCAGCCTAACTCCAAGTTCACTCAGAGAACCTGTCTCAAAGGAATAAGGCAGAGAGTGAGAGAGCAGGGCACCCAATGTCTTCCTCTGTGCATGGGCACACACGTGTACATACACCACAAAGACACACACATACACACAGCTAAAGTTCTAAGACCACATTTAATTCACTACTTATGACAACGGAGATCTCAGTATAGAAGTAGCTCAATTAGGAACACACTGTGGGCAATATTATCAAGTAGCTGGGGGTGGGGAGTTGTCAGTGGATGGAAAAATACTAAAAATGGGAGATTCTGGTTAAACAGACTAACAGTGGTCCTTGTCAAAGCATGCCAGGGTGAGGCTGTCATTTATTTAGTGGGAGGTGAGAAATGAAGAATTTCATCAGATATTGAGGATGGGGTGTTTGGCTAAACTCACTGGATGCGATTTTTTGCATCAACTGGGCTACATGAAGATAGCAAAGAAGCTCGGAAGTTGAGGCCCAAGTTGTTAACCTGAGGAGGCTGAAATCTGGGCAGACTATATAGCCTTCCTCCCCATCCTCTTGGTGTGCATGTGGAGGCCAGAGGGTAATGTTGGGTGTCTTCCTGTATCACCTTCTCCCTTTTTAAAAAATATTTATTATTTTTATGTATTGCCTGCATGTAGGTAAGTGTACCCATGTCGTGCAATGCCTGCAGAGGATAGAAGAGGTTGTTGGATCCCCTGGAATTGGAGATACAGTTGTTAGCTGCCATGTGGGTGCTGGGATTCAAACCAGGTCTTCTGCAAGAACAGTCAGTGTTCTTAACCACTGAGCCATCTCTCCAGCCCCTCTACCTTATTTTTTAGACAAGATTGTTCTTTTTTAAAACGATTATTTAAATTTTTATTTTATTTTTATGTGTATGAGCTTTTTGCCTCTATGTATGCAAGTGCACCATGAGTGTGCAATGCCAGAGGAGGCCAGAAGAGGGCACTGGTTCCACTTGAGTTACAGGGTTGTTAGCCATGGTGGATGCTGGGAACTGAACCCAAGTCCTCTAAAAGAGCAGCCAGTGCTCATAACCATTGAACCATCTACCCATCCCACAAGACAAAGTTTCTTATTGAACTTGGGAGTCTACTGATCTAGCTGAACTGACTGGCCAGCAAACCCCAGGGGTCCTTTTGTCTCCACTTCCCCAGTGCTAGGATTACAGGCTTGTGCCATCATGCCCAGCGTTTCTATGGGTGCTAGGGATCTGAACTCAGATTCTCATGCTTGCAATCACAGGCATTTTGTCCACTGAGCCATCTCCCCAGCTCCATTTCAACAGCTTTTAGATGTCTTCTTGATGCTCCCCTGGATCCTCATCACACCCTCACCATCTTACCAGATCATGACACTCTTCTGTCAAACACCTTGGAGCTCCCTGAAATGCCCCAGGCTTCCACCTCAGGCTCTTACACAGGCCCTACCATGTTTCAGTCTCTGGGCAACTGTTAGGCTTGGGTAAAGTGCTACCTTTTTTGTGAAGGCATGGGTCCTCCTGACCTTTGTTTTCACTCATCTCCTTGCATGAGGTTCTTGGAAGTACATCTCACAATCATAACTTTTGGATTTGCTTGAGTCCCTAGGGGAGTAGCTGTGCCCTTTATTACTACATGTCTCCTGCCACACATTGTGGGTCAGTTGGTGACACTGTGTGGGAGTTTAAGTCTAGGATAGAGTATGTTTCCCTGTTTAGATGTGTGGTTTTTCTTTTCCTTAACAAATTTTTAAAAATTTATTTTTAGTTTATGTGATTGAACATTTTGCCTTGCATATATTTAAGTGCACCCACATGGTGTAATGCCCACAGAGGCCAGAAGAGGGCACCAGGTCCCAGGTTGAACAAGTGCTATCTTAACCACTGACCCATTTCTGTAGCCCCAGGTTTTGGTTCATGAACAACCTACAGGTAGAAGCAGCCAGAGAGAGCAAAGAGTCAGGGCTTGCCTGGGAAGGTAAGGTTCATGAATCCTAAACATCCGGTCTACATGGTGCTTTTCAGAACAAAAGCACAAGAGTTTTGAAAAGCAGAGGAATGGAGGGCAGGTAAGAAGAGGTGAGAGGACCAAGGCTAGATCTTGAGTCTCCCCAAGGTCATTCCCAGGTTGGTCCTTACTGGCACCTGGGTAGACAGCTCCAGACCTAAGTGGCCAGCAGGCTCAGGGCCCAGGGACTTCAGAATACATATAGCCTATTTGGGACAGCTAAGCACTGCCCAGAATGGGCAGAAAGATACTATTGGGTCCAGAGGTTGACTGTCAAGGCTCAGACCAGTCCCAGGCCACTGGTAAGGTAATTTCCTAATATCCATTCCGGGCCTGGGGATGACAGATCAAAGAATGGAAGAGCAGAACATGTGTTGATTTTAAATTTTTCTTTAAAAAAAGAGATTTGGGGCTAAAGCAATGGCTCAGTGGTTAGGAGCACTAGCTGCTTTTCCAGAGGACCTGGGTTTGATTCCCAGCACCATGGTGACTCACAACTCTTAACAGTCATACATAAAAAAATATAAAAAATTAAATTAAAAAAATTATGTCTATGTGGGTATGTGTATGTGCATGTGCTGGCCGGAAGAGGGTAGTGGATCCCCTTGTGCTGGAGTTAACAGTTGTGAATCACAGCCATGTGGGTACTGGGAGTTGAACTCTGGTCCTCTGGAAGAGCACCTCTTAACCACTGAGCCATCTCTCCAGTCCCTATTTATTTTTTTCAGTTTAGGATCTCACTCTGTAGCTCAGGCTAGCCTCAAACTCCAGCCCGTCCCGCATTTGACTGCCAGGGTCCAAAAGACGTGGTTTAGTCCGTGTTCATGGCTATCCCTCTGCCCTCCACACCCTTCCCTGCATTGTCCCTGCTCACACTGGTGTATGTGGTGGCGGCGCCAGAAAGTAGTCTGGTGGCGCAGTGGACACAGTCAGCATCATCCAAGAGGGATCAATTTCCCCGCCACACCTCTGCACAGATCAGGGTCAGACATGCAGGCTGCCTGTGATACCCACAAGGGATCAACGACCTCCTTCCACCATCTGAGGTCCGTGGAGAGTCCTGTGGACAGGGGTATCAGCTCTGGGCACGTCCTGGAACGCATCTCAGTGGAACGAGGCCTGATTATGAAGGGAAGGGATGCTCGCTGCGGCTGGACCTCGTGTGCATCTTCAAGAGTGGGCAAGGGTCTCCTGGAGGGGACAGGGAGGCAGGGTGTCTAGGAATGTAGCCTTGTGGATGGCCACGAGCATCCTCCACGCACACCGGGATGCAGCGCTGTCTGCATCCAGAGCTCCGTGACGCCCCGTGACCGGAAGTGCCCCCCCGTGGGCGCGGACAAGGCGGGGCTGGCAGGAGACACTTCCGGTGCCCACGCGCCGCCGCCTCCTCCGCCGCCGCGCAGCTCGCGGCCGTCACTTTGTGTGGCGTGGGGGGTCCCCGGTGGTCACAGTCCCCCCACCCCGAGCCCGTGTCCTGCTCCGGCTCGGCCGGGTCTCGGGCGCGCGCGCGCGGTGAGTGGGGCGCGCGGACGCGGCA